CAACATGCTTAAGCCAAGTTTTAGCTGCTATTTACAGTCGTAAGCAAATTGTACAGTCAATTTACACGGTACACCTTTTCCTCACAACTGTCGAGCACAACATGCTTACGCCAAGTTTTAGCTGCTGTTTACCGTCGTAWGCAAATTGTACAGTCGATTTACACGGTAAACCTTTTCCTAACAACTGTCGTTCGCAACATGCTTACGCCAAGTTTTAGCTGCTATTTACAGTCGTAAGCAAGTTTTATGGTAGATTTACGTCGATTTGCGTGTCATCATCATGTTGAGCTCGACTGTTGTGAGAAGATATCGTACCGTGTAAATTTGCCTTTACAAGTGACTGAATTATGGCATCGTGAAATAACTTAGAGACAAAATAACACCTGATTGAGGAGACCTATGACTACTTTAAGTTTATTTTCGTTGCGCATCTTGAAGCAAATGTACGGTACGATTTGTTTCTAAATAYTACATGACGTGGTAGTAGCAAGTAATGGATTTTTGACTTCAGTATCAAAGCCAGATGCAGAGAACCCAGTCGTCAAAAGAACCAAGATTCCCCGRGCAGAAAAGAAACAAGGAAGTGAGAAATACCAGAAAAACAGCACATCTAATGGTGTAATAGGTAAGAAACGAGGTTTTTAAACCAGAGTTTAACCGGAGTTTGATATTCGCTTACCTCATATCAACTCTTCGGGTGCCTGGAACTTTTCGCATCATTCCTGGAATATGGATCTTTTTCACATGGCTATGTTGGTCGGAGTATTACATACTGTACTGGGTGTCCTTGCGCACTCTATCGTTGCAGGATAGGATTTTCACAGTGCTCCCTAACATAAAGGACCATAGATCAYTTTGATTGAATGTAATGTTTTTCCATTTCAGACCACATGTCATTTCCTAGAGRACCATTTCTTTGTACGGTTGTACATGAAAAGTGGATACAACTCCAAAAAAATCTTATTCCCAAAAGACCCCTTGCAGCACGTTGGAATGCAGCTCAATTTGGAGGACATGACAATAGGATATCTATTCTCAGGAGATTGAAATTCTTATATTTTGTCCTCCAAATTGAGCTGCTTTGACGTTACATGCAAGTGGTGTATAGAATGGCTTGTAGTCTGAAACGGCAACATTACGCCTCTGCTAAAATAATCTATTAGGAATATTCTTTATTTCTTTTCCTCAAACAAAACTTTAAGTTGATCTTTTTCTCTACAACAGAACAAATGCGCGAAGAGAAAAAAGAAGACGTCCTCCTGCTCTTCCAGAGACTCGGTTGCTACGCAGACAACCCAAGTCGCCACGACATGCCAACTAAAGCAGACATCAAGTCAGTCAGCCAAGAGGAGTGTGTGCGAGCATGCGCACTAAAAGAGCAAGGCTTTTCGTACTTCGGGCTTCAAGATTCCAACCAGTGTTACTGTGGGCACGGGTATGGTAAATATGGACGATCTGATGAGTCGTTGTGTAATAAACGATGTAATGGTAATAACGATGAAAACTGTGGAGGAAACTCGACCAATATGGTCTACTTTTTTGGCCTTGGTAAGTCATAAGTATAAGTCGGTGTTATTTGTAGAAACATTTAAAGATGTCTTTATTCTCGCGTACCAGTCTTCATATTAGAGCTGCTCTATTTGACTGCCATCTCTTGCCAGTCGAGTTGACTGCATTCCCCGAAAGGTATTATGGGTCAAATAGTTTTGGTTAGCCTTTTCGTAGCAGGGGCTGAAAACAATGTAGATTTCTCGTGTTGAATAAACTAGAATTCCACGATGAGTTTCACTAGTTGCATTTATGATAATTGTGAAGAATAAAATGGGTTTATATTATGGTTCTCTTGGCAGAACCATGGTAATGCTAATCAAAATAGGATGTTGAATTTTCAATTCTGATTGCTTGACCTTGAGTTTGTTCTGAAGGTCATCTCAGCTGGTATGCTTCATCCTTTAAATCTGGCTCATCATATACAATGTAAAATGATAAGTTTTTTTAAAAAAGTTACCCGTTCTCATAGCCTCAATGAGTTCTCTGTCTTCCGTGTGGCTCAGCAATAAAGACCGATGAAGGATGGAGAGATGTATGTAACGAACCGTTAAATCTTAGGAAGAATACTAACACTATCTTTATAGATTTTGGGACAAAACAATAGGCCGTCTTTTCTCTTGCAAAACAAATTCACTGTTTTGTCCCCCAGAACAATTCCTCTCGGGACTCAATGCAAGGGGTCTATATTCCAATCTGTTGAACGACCCCTAACATAACGTATAAATATGTTGTCTATACAGGGGCAAACTACACAGTCAAGGTCTACACAGGAGACAGGGACAATGCTGAATCTGATGCTAAAGTCTACATCACTCTGTATGGAAACAAAGGAGACTCGGGCTTCAGAAAGCTGAGCGCACAAACATTTACTAAAAAAGAGTAAGTCATGCATCTGTCCAAATCCCTTCTGCTGATCCTTTGTCAGGTCTCTCCTCTACAGTTTTCTATTTCCCTAAAACCTAACAAGCTATCAATTCGATCTGTGAGTTAGCCGTGCCCTGACTTAGATCAGCCCAGAGATGGTTTAAGGGTTCGATCTGTGAGTTAGCCATGCCCTGACTTAGATCAGCCCAAAGGTTGTTTCAGGGTTTGATCTGTGAGTTAGCTGTGCCGTGACTTAGATCAGCCATGAGGTTGTTTCAGGGTTTGATCTGTGAGTTAGCTGTGCCGTGACTTAGATCAGCCATGAGGTTGTTTCAGGGTTTGATCTGTGAGTTAGCTGCGCCATGACTTAGATCAGCCCAGAGGTTGTTTCAGGGTTTGATCTGTGAGTTAGTCATGTCCTGACTTAGATCAGCCCAGAGGTTCTTTCAGGGTTTGATCTGTGAGTTAGCCAAGCCCTGACTTAGATCATCCCAAAGGTTGCAATGTTTCATGGTTCGATAAAGTTTTTACTGTTTTTTTTCCCTATTATATCCTGTTTAACCACTGCTTCTCTCGTGTCTGATTTCAGTGCCGTTAGCGAGACTCTGCTCTTGCCAGAGTTAGGAGAACTAAAAAAAGTTCGCATTCTTCACGACAACTCAGGCAAACACCCAAGCTGGTTCCTCAAGAAGGTGAGTAATTTGGGCCAATCAAGTTGACCCTTACCGCTGTGCTTCATGATGACAGGCTCATATAGACAGGGTTAGCCTTATTTGGTAGCTGACAAGTTTTATTGTGTTTCCTAGATAACGGTGACAGATGAAAACGGCAAGCTCTACAACTTCCCATGTAAAGAATGGCTGAGCGAGACGCGAGGTGGCGGCAAAACAGAGAGACTTTTGTTCGTTGATAACTCGAAGCAATCATAGTGATTGGATGATATTATATAGGTAAATAAGAAAACTACTAATAGGGGTACCCATGGTAAATGTCAATAACTACTGACAGGGGTATCCTTAGCAATGAACATACATCTACTAACAGGGGTACCAATGGTAAATATAAATAACTACTAACAGGGGTAACCATGGTAACAACTGAAGTTAAACTATTACTTGTTGTTTAGCAGTCTAGTTTATGTTCAGACAGTAAGATTAAGAATCGATTTTAACGTCATCAATTTTTTGTGGTATTCTAATCTCGTACCCAGAGCCCACGTTTCTCTTGATCAGCATCATCGGACTTTTCGGTGCTGTCCAAGAGGAACGTGGGCTCTGGGTACGAGATTGCTGGCATTTCTGGTCAGCAATACGATAATTATTTAGCCTCATTGTACGAGTTCTTTGGACATACCTGATATTGACTTGTTTGTCTTAGTAAGGCAGAACACTAGGGTCTCTAGTGGAGGATGTAACGAACCTTGAATGAGAAGGCGAAATTTTWATTCCTGGTTTATTGACCATTTCATCTTCAGCAACTTTTTTTCAAGTTCCAGACCACGTGTCATTCCCTTCAGTATWATCTATTTTAMAATAGCTGGTGTGCATCCCTTTCCATAAGGATACCAGTACAAAAGAGATGGCCGCCATGTTGGTTGACATGACAAAATACACTAAAACCAAATATTTTGTTCAAGACGTCCAACATGGCGGCTAAGACGTCACATGTACCTAAAGAATTTAGCAGTAAACTTAGACACATTTTTATAGATGTAGAGTAGCTTAAAAAACTTAGAATCTTATTCTCGAGGGCCGAAAAAAGATGCAAATGTCTCTCAAATTTGCAATACCATTTAGTGAGCCAAAATGGATGACACGTGGTCTACGTCTAAGCTGAAAAGGTATATTAAATTGAGTGAGCTATAGCAAGGACATGAACCATCTAAAAGAACGATCAAAACAGATCGAGTGCCCTCTGTGCATAAATAATGTTAATGCATGACAAAAGATATATTAAATTAAGTGAGCTATAGCAAGGACATGAACCATCTAAAAGAACGATCAAAACAGATCGAGTGCCCTCTGCGCATAAATAATGTTAATGCATGACAAAAGATATATTAAATTGAGTGAGCTATAGCAAGGACATGAACCAACTAAAATAACGATCAAAACAGATCGAGTGCCCTCCGTGCATAAATGTTAATGCATGACAACTATTTTAAGGGTGATACGAAATTGACAAGTTGTTAAAGCACGATGACGTCGTCACCAGTACCTGATAAACTGGTTTTTAAAGAAGTATTAACGATAGTCAAGGATAACTTGACAAATCCGCTCAATTTCTCGTTTTATATAAATCGTGAAGGTATAGCTAGAATTTTGTAAATTGGTAAATAGAAAATCTAATATTCTAATCATTATTATTTTTAAGACACTTAAAAGAATAATATATTTTTAAGAGATTAACATTTTGAAATATTGTAATCTAGTAATTAGGTGTCAAACAAAAATGCATAATACAAAGTCTACATTTGCATATTATTTCCTAATTTACATTAATTATTTATTTCATTTAACAATTTGTTTTAATTAAAAAAATATTCCTTTGAACTTTTGTTTTGAATCAATTAAATATCGACTTTAGCATCAAATATCGATTTGTTAACCAATCTTTCTTCTTTATCAAGACAGATACATGTTTTGTAAACCTTCACGTAACCATGACAACCAGACGACAACTATAGACAGCTAACCAACAGTGACTGACGATAATCCAAATATGGACAATGATGATACAGGAATCCCAACCGTGGGACCGTACTTTGGTAGTAGAGAACTATAATGTTTCTATGACAACGTAATTCATATTGACTAGAGCTAACCATCAAGACAATGCCATGTATTGACAACTAAAAACAAACACGAAATATCGTGCAATATACTAAGTATGACTATTTATTTGCTTCCTATTATCAATATACATACATTTTAAAATTATTGTGTGTATAACGTTCTCTCGCTTGACCCCTTTATCTTAATAGTAAGAAAAATGACCTTATTTAAGCTAATTCAGCTCAAAAGCTGGTATCGATAGGGGCGCGCGTTTGCACATTATTTGTCCATCGGCTTGCGTCCAACTTGCGATTGATTGGCTACTTTTGTAAAGTCCCGCGCAATCACATGATATGTTTTAGCCAATGAAATGCGACTTTTCTGTGCCCCGTTGAACAGAACGCGCCAATCGGTGTCTTTTAAATAAATTCAAAGTTACTACGTATGACATCGCCAGAAACGTTGCAAACAACAGTTTAAATGTGCGTCTGATCCTTACAAGGTATCCCATAATATCTAGTAGTCGAATTCAACTAGCAGTCTATCACCAATGCTGCGCTCTGATTGGATGAGGTACTAGTAAGCTATAAGTTATAGTGCAGTTTTCGTATGACTGTGAAAAATTCACGGCACGAACTCGGCCATGACACGGCAAGGGATACGCCAGACCAATCACATTGCACGATAATTTACTTTCCATCCAATCAAATACCCGGAACACGACATAAACATGGCGCGGACACGGTCAAGCCAAGGTCACGGCACTTTTAGACCAGTCATATTGCGCGTGAAAAAAATTCAGCCTATTAAAATTCTAGAAAGTATCACGGTCACGGCACGTCACGCTTACGGCACTGAGCTTTTCACAGTCATACGAAAACTGCACTATCCTACTAGTAGCGAAAAGTGCCGGCTTAGAAAACCAAAACATTGAATTTAAATTTCATTCAAAACTTGTTTGCATTTATGTGTTTGACCTACTAGTCGGATTTGACTAAAACAATTAGTCCTCTTGCCCACATGGCCTATGAGTCAATAGCCCATTCGCGATCGAGGACAAATTTAGTCCTAAGTATATTACAATATCCCATAACATATTACATGAACATATGGACAGGTTTCCTTAACGAAAGTCATTTCTAAAAGCCGATATTGTACAAAGGGATCTGCCCTAGACAATACGTGAACGCTCAGCGAGATCTGTCCACGTATACACCTCTCCTTCGAGCTATTCTTGGATCTTGGAATACCCTATATTCTCTCGCTTTTYGCCTATCCTATTGCCTATTGCCTTTGGCCTTTGGCGATGACAACGTTATTGGGATGAGTGTAAATATTAGAGTCCAGCTGCGGCTGCACTAGCAGAGAGGTACTTGGCCTAGACAGTCGTGTTCAAGCGCGAAGTTCCAAATTTTACTAGTCTTGCAAGCAAAGCAAAAACTCCATGAATTTCTTTTCCTTTATGGCGTCTTTCTTTGAAATTAGAGACTAGCTTGCTTTTAAGGATATACACGCATTTGCAGAGGTTAAATACATCGGTAAACTTTGATTTACCCCAAGACGCGGAATATGCCAAGTTTGACTTGGTTGACGAGAAAGATTCCACTTTTACAGACTCTTACATACACTATTCCCTATTATCCTTGAGAGGTATTATACGGAAAAAAGTATTTACATGTCCTTTTGTTAGCTAAGAATCAATTCTACAGCAAGCTACATACTAATAAAACAAGGAAATGTTTATCTCACCGTGTTCTTTTAGTAGCGTTGCAAATCGTCTTGTTCGGCGCCTGTAGTCGTCCTCCAATTTCAAAACCTTCCAAAATATAGTTTTAAAGTAACAAAAAGCCTAAATATTTACTCAGATATTGAGTTTATACATCAAAGAACACGTAACATCCAGCAGTCGTTATACAGAGGCATTTTTAAGTGCATAAACTAGAAAATAATTTCAAGCTTAGAGAGACTGTAAAACCTACCTTTGTTCCTTTGGACGTGTGCAAGGTCATATGCTAATTAGGTAAACATTGTACTTCCGGTAGTGTCGTGACATCCGCCGTGAAGGTCCCAAAGTGAGAATATAGTCTCCGCACAGCTGTTTTTAGTGTCATAAGAATACTGTTGTGTGTAAATTAAAGAGAATAGCTGACAGAGCATTGTTCTATAAATGTCCATTGAGTGACTAGGAACTCAAGAGTTCTTTAACGATTACTTATCTATTAAGTATTATTACTATACCTACAATTGTAGTATAGACATTGTTTTAGGGGGTGGAAACCAATGTAAATAGATTTTGTTTAAGATTCAAAAAAAAAAATTCTGTCAATCTTTATTCATAGGTCAAAGACTCAAATCAATTGAGAAAGCCTTATTTATTTGTTAACTTATTGATAAAGTTACAATAAAATAAATCATTATGATGGATGGCAAGTCTTAATGCTTCTCTTTGTCACTTTATCTCTGCCTAGCTGACTGTCTATTTGTTGTCTCGCTCTTCTATGGTGGCCAAGGGTTGCCACTAGTTATTTCACAAAATATGGCGTTATTTCATTGAATTTTTTTTATTTTTTATTATTCTTTCATTTCAAATTTTTCATTTTTTAAATTTTAATTCGTTTTTCATTACAGACCATGTCATTCCCTAGAGTAGTTTCTTTCTTCAACAGATGTGCATGAGTAGACTCATGAATATGAATACAACTCAAACAAAGAATCGTATCCTCAAGAAAATGACACATGGTCTGAATTAAGAAAACATTGCATCTAAGTTCCAAGTGTCTCTTCCCACACTAATGCGTCACTTGCATTATAGCGTCTTAGACCTAATCGGCTAACGTGTTGCTATGTACGTTACCACCCGATTCAAACCTTCTGGGAATAAGTTTCATTGTTCGTTATATTTTGGTTTCAGAGTTGAATTCGTAGAGACAAACGGTTCTATTCCCAGAAGGTTTGAATTGGGTGGTAACGTACATAGCAACACGTTAGCCGATTAGGTCTATTTACTACCAGTACCAGACTCCCTTACACACTTTTTTCGTTCAGTTAATTAGCATCTATTCTCATGAGGAAATACAAATTTGAACAAGAAAGAAAATTCGCAAAACATTTTAGTGATAGTAAAATGACACTTTTCTGAGTTCGATAAACATGATGCATGATGCATAATGTCTAGTGTTTCAGTACAAACAACACCATATAAGGCATGATGAATAAAAGATTTTTGTACCGAAGCTAGACCACAATGCACTGCGTTTGCTATCTCAGAAAAGGTCTATGCAAACGGCAGGCAAGGGCGGATCCAGGTTTTTTTTTGAAGGGGGGTCTCAGGGATAAATTTTGTGGGCAAAGAAATCCCAGTCACATTTTTACCACAGAAGGCCCATTTGACCTCAGGAATGACATGGGGGGTCGTGACCCCCCCGACCCTCCCCCTGGATCAGCCCTTGGCAGGCCTATTATTCAAAAATGCTTCCTACCTGTAAGCAGTACTCAAACAAACTTGATAACAGTGAGCCCAAGACAGGCTCTAAGTAAATTTTATGAAAAGAAAAAATGCATGAGCAAATAAGGTTTTATGTATTTTATTGATCAGTTCTTACTTCACAGAAAACATGTTACTCTCTTGTTATATTAACAACTTTTTTAAAGAAAATTTTCAAATATTTGGAGAAATTTTTAAATTAAAATTTTACGGACATTCTGTAAAATGGCATTTTGCACGTTGAGTCTTTGCTCACGTGATCATGAGAATCTAGTAAAAACTAAACTAAGCTAAGAATCTATTAGTATAGTTCTAAAAGTTAATTGCTGTCCATTTTCAACCTGTGCTTATATTTATTTTCTTAATTTTTGACCTGAACGGTCCATCTTCAGGGTACGATGGGTCGAGAGAGAAATCAAAAAAACATAAATTTTTCATTTTTTTATTTTAATTCTAATTTTTTTCGTTTGTTTTGTTTTATTTTATCTTTTGTTATCATTTAACACATAATCATGATAATAGTAATGATGAAAAGGTAAATTATACACCGTGAAAAGATGAAAAAACTTACTGACGTTTCGGACGCTAGTCCTTCGTCGGAGTGTCACTCTCTTGAAAATAAGAATCTTTGTTTCGTCTATATTCATGTATCTTTCATGTACAACCATATACAGCTAATCATGATAATAAGCATGCTGGTCAAAAGCTACCAAAAATAAAAATAGTTAATATAAGGACAGGTTGAAATAGAATACAAACACTTTAACCATGYAACATAATTAGCATTATATAAACACAGACTATTATTTATTATTATTGTTTTCTATGGTATAATTAGTGCTTTTTAGTGCAAAATGTTGCATGCTCTTAGTATTCGTACTCTAGTGATTTTTTAAACTATCAACTTAATTAATTCTGTATTACTGTCTATAGTTTTAATGGAAGTCACTTCAGCATGCCATAATGCGTAAATTCATACATTACAGTCTCGCAAGGGATATAATCATGTATAAGCAAAATGCCATTTACAAACAAAAATTCTCCAAACTGATAAAAATTTAAACTGTTAAGATAATAAATGATTTTCTTTGAGCCACCGAATCTTCATAAAAATGACAATTTCTAATAGTTATTAATAATGCATTAATAATATCCTATATCTAAGCTAATTGGCAAAGGAGATTCAACCTCTCTAGACAACATACAAAACATTACTTTGTACATCATGTAAGATAATATCAACAATAAAACACTTGCTCTTACTAGAGGATTCCCTAATGGACGAAATTCACTTGGGCTTAATGTTATCCCWTTTCAAACGACGTGTCACTTTCTTGAAAATAAGATTCTTTGTTTCGTCTATATTCATGTATCTTTCATGTACAACCATATACAGCTATGTCAAAAAAAGGTTGAATACTGCATACTGAATTGCTTACTATCAATTACGTGACTTTTTGGAGTTGACTGGGGGGCAAACAAGCGTTTGACTGGGGGGCAACTAGCGGATGCTAAGTCAAAACATATCAAAATAAGTCCTCAGACTATTGTATTTGACTATTTTCACGACATCAAAACAGAAAACAAGAGATCAAAACAACCTCCAGGATTCTACAAGCCATCAAAAAAGAGCTATTACTGGAAGTGACGTCTATTGATAGCAACCTATAGTGCATTCCAAGACCAAAGTGCATTGTGGGTCATAGTGACATTGTCTAAAGTAGGATTAATAATAATTATTTATTCTATTTTTAGTGTATTCCATCTGAAACAATATACTAATACATGTACAGAGTTAATTGCTGTATATTTACTTTTTATTTTAAATTTAACGAGACTCACAATGCCCTTTGGTCTTGGAATGCACTATTCAGTAGTATGCAGTATTCAGTATTCAACCTTTATTGAAACAGCTAGCTGTAACAAAGAAATAATACTCTAGGGAATGACACGTGGTCTGAAATGGAAACACAGTGCATTAGGTCTATTTATTTGTAACCATATTTACCTAACGCTTTCTTGGTTTGCAATCATGGTGCTTGTGCAAGTTAATGAAGCCGGGTATGATTTCAAGCAAGAGGTTTAAACAATATAGATGTTTTGGGGTGGTCCACTGGATATAAAAACTATTACTGACGCTAGAACTTGTTCCCAAAGTCACATCTCTCATATTCGTTTGAATGGTCAACCACACAGAGTGGTATCATCAAATCTTCCCAATACTCCTGTCCTATTCCAATCCACCAAGCATGACTTCAGTTAGTAGTATTAGTAGGTTTTTATCAGATGAGTGTAAGACATCAGCATCCATTAATATTTATACTCCTTAGGAAAGTGGATAAAGGTTGTATTCATCAGGGGAGGGGAGGGTGGGAAGGATGCTGATGGTTCACAGTCACTTTTTAGCAGATACTAAAGATCAGCAGATATAGACCTTAGGGATAATGTTTTACCAATTCAGATGTCATTCCCTAGAGTATCATTTCTTTGTTTAACGGTTGTACATGAGAAGACACACAAAATATATGGATACCACTCAAACAAAGAATCTTATTCTCAGGACAATAAGACATGGTCTGAAATGGGAAAACGTTCAGTCTAAGGTAGAGAGCCATTCTTGTATACAGACCCTTTCTTTAGCACATCGGAACGAAGCTTAATTTGGAGGATATATGACTACAATAGGTTTACAATAAGCCTGAAGCGAGATGACGTTTTACCCCCAACTCTATACCATAATAGTTTTTAAAATTCTATCATATTAAAATTTTTGATTCCTTAGAGAATACAGCAACAATAGTCATAATTAAAGAGCAAAAGCAATGCGAAAAGGATTATGGTCTAGAGACAGGGGTAAAACGTCATCTCGCTTCAGGCTTATTCTTGGGAGATTCTTCTGTTTTGTCCTCCAAATTGAGCTGGAAGGGGTCTATTGCCTTGATTTGGGACAAATTAAAGGCAAAGCACATGTAAGTGTGTGTGTGTGTGCTTTCTACATTAAATTACTATCGATTTAAGTAACTATGTACATAGGGTACACTGTAAGTAGTTTTAATATTATTAATAGTGTGATATTTTGCTTACTTTCTTATTCACAAGCTAGTTTGCTATCAAAACTACTGAGTGCAATAGCAAAGGCCTGTATTGCACACATAGGAAAGCTGTAATCCATGGTAAAGACATCCTCTGCAACGCGGCCAAACTGCATGATGATATAATCCACTAAAACAAGAAATTAAAGAAAAGTCAAGGGATAATACTACTAACAATTGCCCTATTTCACTATGACATCACATCAAAACAACCTGTTGTTTAAACGCATTGGATCATGGTCGTCCGAGGGGTTCAAATCAACACAAATTCACCGAAAATTGTTCTAAAACCCATATCAATCCACAAAGAGAAGTAGAATAGCCAGCAAACGCTCAGAATATTTTCTAGTACATAATTATTAACACATATTTAATCTGAAAACCAGGCCATTTTAGATTAAACTGTTTCGTCATAGTGAAATAGGGCAATTGAATATAACAAAAGGTGTGAAATAAGCCACATGATTGGTTGAAGCTTTCACTTCAAAACTTATACTTTACAATTATCTCTCCCTGTATGGAGCTCTTCTGTGATGTTTGCACCACACCCACTACCACCCGTACCGCACACTCTACATTCCCTATTTACCACGCACAACAGACCTGCTCATACATTTCACAGCTAGACCAACCTACAACACAGGGAGCCCATCCAGAAAAAGACAGTTTAATCACGTCACACTGTATACTCACCATCACTGTCATGTACAATCTGAAAATTTTTGACTGATGCTTGCGTGACTCGTCCATGGAAGTTCAGGACATAAGACTGTGTGTCTGAAAACAATTAGTACAAATGGCTAATGAATTAACCAATCATAGAGCAGGAAACTTAAGTTAAATTAACAAATAAAAAATTTTATATAGAAAAGTCAAGATTCTGAATTGAATCTGGAAGTATTGAGCCTAGCATAAACTGTGAGCTAAGTCCCTCTATTTCCCTTGGTCACTGTCCGTCTGTCTGTCCTTATCGATTGGTAGAGTAAGATTGGTTGCGAGTCAAAAGTCCCTGGAGAGGGGGCTGGCGAGGGAAATAGAGGAACTTAGCTCACAGTCTAAGCCTAGCGCGGTGTGCAGGCTATGTCATTACAAGCCCAGTAAATGACTGCTCACAATGAGTCTTTCCTGTAGCTCAGTGGTAGAGCATCAATTCCTATCAGGGACTGATTTTTGTCAGAGTTCAACTAGTGTCAAATGATAAATTACTCTATAACTTCTATCCTAGCTTATAGATAGGATTTCATCAGTGAGAAACATTATTCTATGTAGGAACTTGTAGATAAATTGGATAAAAAACTTTGTGAAACTGATGTTTCAGACGTTAGTCCTTCGTCGGAGTAAGTGACGTACGTTTCACAAAGCTTTTTACGGTAATCCTATTCATCTACAAGTTTCTGCTGTTTTATTCAGAAACACCGACGCAGTCCACGTGAGTACTCTACTAGTTATCACCACTCATTATCCTATGTAGTTAATCCAGTTTATGCAGTGGAGATATCACTTACCATCGTTCCAAACAGGTGTTTTGTTATGCAGTTCTACAAGATTTTCAAGTTGTCGATTTCGATGTCGTTCCAATATTGTTTCTGATTCCTTTTCAAGACATCAACATAAACAATGGTCAATACAGATATCCCTGACTATAAATCCATCCAAAACCATTATCATTTGGCTACTAGTACCACCACTACCATCATCATTACTGTCATCATCATCTCAAATATCAAATATCAAAAAGTAAAAATACCAACTATATTTACTGCGATTCCCAGTCACATGCGACCAACTAGACCTTCATCACAAACAAAAAATTGAGTTTGGGTGGACGTCAATCAAAAGGGTTTCTATCGTTTCTATTGGTTTCTACACTAGGGCTGGCGTTAATAATCATGTGAACACGTGCAAACGTGCAAAAACCGTTGCTCTTATCTCATGCTGTGTATTTCTCACTCTGGATACATTTTTTCAAAAATTTCACAGGATTCCGGCTCCGAATCTCAATGGCTTGACTGCAAAGCTATCGGTATTGACTATGATTTGAGCTTCTTCAAGATCAGATAAGTCAATACCTTTAGCTTTGCGTTTGAAATTTGGAGTCGGAATCCTTAGATATGTTTAAGAAACCCTTTTGATTGACGTCCACCAAAACTCAATTTTTCGTTTGTGATTTAGTTTTCAGTTGGTCACATGTGAGTGGGGATTGCAGTAAAGAGGGTCACATGTGACTGTTTCAACTTTAAACTTGGGGCCCTCTATTTATAATTAACATGAATGGCAGAAGACTGCCATTTAACATGGTCATCCAAGCCATGGCGAAGGTTTAACCCATTGCAAATATCTTTTAGAGGAAAGGCAGCACATTCTACTAAGACATTTTAAGACCATCRTAAGTGTTGGTCCAGTTATGAGGCTTGAATTAAAACCACGACCTCTCGGACAATAGTCTGATGCACAATCATCAGAGCTAACCGACAACATCTATGATTGTCATCATCATCATAATACTAGATACCATCATCAATGCATCATTTCCTTGTCATCATCAATCATCATTGCTAAAATCATCAGAGTATCATATTTGTTGTCATCATCCATCATTACTAGATACCAGACATCATCAAAGCATCCTATTTGTTGTCATCATCCATCACATTCATTCTCATGACCATACATGCATGAAGTTAACACATTTTTAATACTTACTGATCTTGGTCGTACAGGCACTCTCTGTTGATCAAGGCCCATGCCCGGTAATACGACAGTCATTTTACGAGGACCTTTAAACCCAAGTACATTAGTGTCCTGAAATAGTATATCAATATTAATAATTAGCAAAAGGCCAATTATAATATCAAAGAGGAAGACCCAGGTTCAATTCTCAGACTCATCGTATTTGAGTAGAGTTGTTTACTGGTTCACTCTGGTTCACTGCCATCATCAGTGATGGTAAAGTAAAGTGAGATTACAATATATATAGCAGAGAACAACAGTTGATAGACTAATGAACTAATGTGAGGTTAACATGATACTTTACCATCACTGATGATGGCAGTCGAACCTGCCGAAACATGTTTGGTTTAAAACTTCCAAATATCAAAAGCGTCGTTGTTTGCTTACAGCCATTCTCAATCACACGCGCCCTCTTGCAATTTTTTCTGTCGCGACGAAGGTTTTGATAGACATCAATCACAAGGCGTTTCCATAACATTGTCGGAAAACACAAAGCTATAAGGGCTCGTGCCTATAGAATGTCATGGAAACGCCTTGATTGACATCCACCAAAAGCTACTTCGTCGCAAAAGAAACAATCGCTAGAGCAGCGCGTGAGAGTGACTGTAAAACTGCTTAAACCTTTTGGAAATATTAATACTAAATACTAAACTCAGAATCATTATTATAATTACAATATTCATGTTCCACTTACATAAATAATGCCTGCCAGTTCTTCTCTAATATTGGACCCATCAGACATGACCCCGCCCTTCTTGGGGTTCACCCCTTGGTCGAATACTGTAAATTTTGTCCCTACAAGATTTGCTCGCAGTTTTCCTATAAAACTTTCTCCTCCTCTGGAGAGATCAGTTGCATCGGTGCTGATGAGGTAGTTTGAAGTGGTGCTCTTTTTTCTCTTGCGGCCAGCCAGTAAGAATATCTGAAGGAAGAAAAAAAGCATTCATTATTAATTATGGTGTTAATAATAATAGTAATAATAATAATAGGCTTTATTTCATGAGGTTAAACACATAACAATTTAAAAAACACTGATGACTCTTTCAGCTGAATGAATCTCATTAATAATAATAGGTAAACACTGCCCGTCATGTGCTATCAACCAACAGTAGTCTATTTTTTAGAAAAAAATCTTCTTAATAAATCTCATTGTCTAGACTACAATGACAGGTAAACATTGCACATCATGTGCTATCAACCAGAGAGTATTCTATTGCTTGGTATCAATCAGCTGAATGAATCTCATGAATCTCATTACCAGCCTACAATGACAGGCAAACACTGCCCGTCATGTGCTATCAACCAGAGAGTATT